GACTGGTTGGGGGAAGTGGGATTGGGGGAGTGGGATTGGTTGGGGATTGGGGGAGTGGGATTGGTTGGGGATTGGGGGAGTGGGGTTGTTTGGGAGTTGGAGGAGTGGGGTTAGTTGGGGATTGGGAGAGTGGAGTTGGTTGGGGGATCCGGAGGGGGAGGGAGGGTCGTCAGGAACTTTCAAGTATGCGTTTCAGTCGAGACTTTCACATGCTCCTGAGACCGCTGGCCGCTCAGTCAAAAATCCTGGGACCGCTTTCAGTCTCAGACCAATGACCGCTCAGTCAAAACTCCTGAGGCCGCTTTCAGAAAATTTTTGCATATTTTTCTGAGACATCCGTACGGGGAACTATGCGTACGCGGATGATAACATTAAAACGGAGGATCGCAAAAGTGGTGGGCACATACTCCCAAAGTTTCAGCTTTCTGGCTTTTCTGGCTGCCGAGTTGAAAGTGAGTGAAAAAATGTGCGAACACACACACACACACACAGCCTCTTCCCTAATATGGGTTTTTGCAATTTACATACATGCAAAAACGTATAACCCAGGCTGGAACGCACCAGGCCCTCCAGTATGATCATGCGTTTTTGCACTAAACTCGCAGATCGCTACTAGCAGGAATGATCCCCACGCTGTACCCTAACACTTGGGCTAACATTGGCTATGCTTTGATCCTTACCGGCATGCAGGAGGAAGGGCATCATTTGGGATGAAGGTGGTGCATTACAGAGCCGCACGGACATCCAGGTGCATGATTACCGGTTTTTTGCATAAAGTCCGGCCGTTTTTATGCGTTTTTGCCGTGCGCGCTAGAGCGCTGCAACAGGCAGCAGAAACGCATATTGCAACGACCCTGTCAGTGTATGTGTCTTCGTCTGTTCAGGTATTTCAACTCGCTAACCATGCAAGCCTTGAAGCTGAAATTTTGCCAGTGTGTTCCCCGGCCAGGTGCCACCCCAGGAGCACAGTTTCAACCCTTACGCACGTCTGGGCCCCGCGTACAAGCAATGAAAGTTTTGGCGCGAAAACTGCTAACTCGGGAACGAGAAAAGCTAGAACGCTGAAACTTTGGGAGCATGTTTCCTACCCATGCATGACAAAAAGATTTCAAATTCAGCTGCCCAGGAGTTCCCGGGGCTTACGTACGGGCATGTGAAAATTTTGGTGGGAAAATTCATAACTCGAGAATGAGAAAAGCCAGAAAGTTGAAACTTTGGAGGAATGTTCCATACTCATGCACGGCCAAAAGTTTTCAGATTCAGCTCCTTAGGACCGCCAGGAGCTCACGTACGGGCACGTGAAAATTTTTGCAACCCGAGAACGGGAAAAGCTAGGAAATTGAAACTTTGAGGGAATGTTCCCTACTCATGTACAAGCAAAATCAGATGTTT